TGAGAAGCCCATACGAAATAGGGCATGACTCACCAGCCAATCCCTAGCAGATGGTTATCGAAAGTTCTATACAGTTTTCAAAAGGGAGCCTTTCTTTTTAATTAACATGCCCATTAAATTAAAGACAAAATGTCCTTCAAACTGAGTTCATTTCTTAGTGACTTTATGAGACAGGCACATATTGATTTCTTGGCAGCAAAATTGAAGTGATTTGCCAATGTCTTGTTCCAGAGGATTTTTTTTTCCAACTTCCCAAATTTCAAAGTCTTCCACCCCTTTTCAAAGCCAACAAAGCTACTAGTTTTACAAACTGATTGCCTCTTGACATACTTCAACTGCCAATTAGAAGTTGTTTTACCTCAGTGAGAGAGGACAAGTCAAATTCACTCTAAACCAGGCATGTTCAACCTGCAGCCTACAGGCCTCACGCAGCCTGGAGAGCTAGTAATGTGGCTCCACAAGGTCATAAACTTAATAATAAAAATATTGAAAAATTAACTATAACTATATTACACACACCACACACACACATGCACACGCACAATATGCAGCCCAAGACAATTCCTCTTCACTCTATGTAGCCCAGATAAGCCAAAAGGTGAGACAAATATTGTAGGAGATGATCAAGCTGAGCCTGAGGGTGTCAGTCTTGAGTCCCTTCATGCCCCCAAGAGATCTAAGTCCAGACCAGCTTGAATTCTGTTGATTCTTATCTACCGCCAATTTTCTTTGCCAGTGAGTAGTTCAGATTCTTGTACAGAGTATTAGCATGCAATAAACCTATATTCATTTGAACAATCTTGACTCCTGATTTCCTATGCTTGACACCAGTGCTCTAAATCAGGGCTTTTCAAACTTTTCACCCATTGTACCACTTTTAGGATATGGCAACATCCGAATGTCACCAGTCGCCTAGCAAGTTGTCAAAAACTTGATGACCCAAAAAAAAAAAGGGGAAAAAGTGATAAAGTACAGGTAGTCCTCGACTTACAACAATTTGCTTAGTGACTATTCGAAGTTACAATGGCACTGAAAAAAGTGCCCCCCAAGCCACAGCTGAGCAAGACACCTGCCTGCCTGCCCGGCCACACTCTTCCTCCTGTCCAAGTTTTCATTGTTGTGAGCGTTTCTGTTGAGGATTGGCAGTGGGGGTGGGATGGGGGGTGTTTGGTAAGGTGACCAACTTTTTTACAATAAAAAGGAGGACACAAATAAATTGAAGAAAAAAAATATTGTACATAAAAGAAACATTTTATTCATTGCAACAATAATATAGAATACACTATAATATGATAAATGCAGAGTGGGCCCTGTGGCTCCCAAAGCACCAGCCGCACCGGCTTCGGTCCTGGGGGGCAGCCCGCCATTGACACACCCCGTCTGCAGCCGCCCTGCCAGCACCACCGCCCACCCTGCATAGCCCTGTGTATAGCAGGCCCCACGGCTCCCACAGAACGGGGCAACCGGCCACTGCCACCCCTCACCCGCACCCACAACATCCCCATCGCCCCTGCCTCTTGTGCCCGCAGCCATTATTGCTCTAGCAGGGCCGAAGATCAAGAGAAACTTACCGTGACTTTGCTGCTCCAGTCTCCTCCAGGTATCTTCGGGACTAACTAGGAGATGGTGTAGTTGGGTAGCAGGGAGGGGTGCAAATTCGCCTTTGCTGTAGACAACTTGCATGTGCAAAGTTTGCCGGCTGCACTCAGCATCAATTCCTATTGGCTTCGAAAGCCAATAGGGGGAGTAGCACAGCTCATGCAAAAGCTGAAAAAAAAACATCAAAAAAAGGTGCCGGAATGCTATTCTGAGCGTTCTATGAGAAAAAAGGACTCTGCAGATTAGTCTTCAAATATTGAAAAGGAGGACACGTAGGAGGACACTTTTCGAGGGAGGACAGAACTTACAAAAGGAGGACTGTCCTCCCTAAAGGAGGACGGTTGGTCACCTTATGTTTGGTTTTTATTCCCCCCATCTTCTGGGTGGTTGCAGCAGGTTTTGGTCACTTCACAAGACCCTGGGACACTGTGACCGTCATAAATATGAATCAATTGCCGAGCATCTGAATGTAAATCACAAGACCCTGGAGATGCTGCAACATTCCAGCTGATTGGTGCTTCTTCTGGGCTCAGCAGAAGCACCAGGATCAGCGCTGAGCTCCAGCTGGAACCTGGCACTGATCCAGGTGCTTCTGCTGAGCTCTGACAGCCCTGCAGCTCCAGCCATCTCTTGCTCAGGTTTGTATGGTGCTGCCACCGGTTCAGCTCATTCCCCTCCCCCACTACCACTTTTCTAGGATGGTCACGTACCACCTGCCAGGTGCCAATGTACCACAAGTGGTACCCGTACCACTGGTTGAAAAGCCCTGCTCTAAATAGTCCTGGAAAGATTCCCTATCTGAAACTCTGAAGAGCTGCTTCTAGCCAGTATTGACAAGACCATGTTAAACAAACCAGGGGATGGTATAAGGTCATTTCCTATAACACATTAGGAATTCCTACCAAGCCTTAGTGGGAGATTCTTGAGAAAGCATTATTTCCTTCAAGAGGAAATAATAACTTGAGCCGAGGTGGCGCAGCAATTAGAGTGCAGTACTGCAGGCCACTCTAGCTAGACTGTGTTCAGCAGGTCAGCGGTTCAAATCTCACCGGCTCAAGGTTGACTCAGCCTTCCATCCTTCCGAGGTAGGTAAAATGAGGACCCAGATTGTTGGGGGCAATGTAAATATATATATATACATTGCTTGCTGGTGTACACCGCTTAGAGAGTGCTTGCACTCAAAGCGGTATATAAGTCTCATAAATAAATAAATAAGAGGAACACTTTGCACTTTGTAACCAAGAACTAATATATGAGTTTGCTTTTGGCCTTTTTTGATTTCTCTTTTTATTTTAAAGCTTTAAAATAGTAAGTTGTAGGATAGGGACTGTCTTATAACTCATTTTGGTAATTCAGCTTAAGAAACTTTTTCACTAAAGAACATAAACATGCTTTAAATGAATAATTACTGCTAATCAACTGCATTAGGTTGACAAATATTGTATTTATGCTGTTCATAGTTTTATTCTGCAACATCATTTAACATGAAAAAAGCTCTCTCCAACTTTTAAAGCCTATATTTGAATGGAAAATGCTCTACCCCTTTGATGGTTTAAATCTGCACTTTTGTTTCCTCTTCATCTTGATTTATATTACAATTGCTGTATATTACAATTGCACAGAAATATTCTAACAAGATATATCCATACACATTTATAATGCCCTTCTGCAGGAGCGCGGGAAGAGGGGAGGAGAGCAGCTACCCTGAGCACCGCGCCTGCCTCCCTTCGGGCTCCCTCGGCCTCTCCGCCCTGCTCTAGGCTGGGGCTGGTCAGATTCCCCCCCGTGGGCAGCGTTGTGCCCGCTGCCAGCCCATCCCTGGCCAGCCCTCCTCCATCCTCCTCCTCCTTCTGCAGGCAGACCGTGGCTGAGGTCGAGGAGCCAGGCAGCTGCGGCTCTCGCTCCCCTCCGGCCTCCATCTGCCCAAGGCCTGACTCAGCTCGGGGCGCCTGGCTGGCTAGCGATGGGCTGGAGAGTGCCAGACAGCAGCACCTGCCCCAGGACAAGCAGTAGGCAGGGTGGGCACTCCCAATGTCTGCAGGGGAAGAAGCGGCGAGAAAGCTCCACACCCAGTCCAGCCCAGGCACGGCATGGCAAGTGAGGCAGCAGCCCCACACACGTCCCTGTGCGCGAGCGCGCTCCCGCCCTGCCAGGCAAGCGGAGCCGCAGCATCTTCGGTAGAAGAATGCAAGTGGGCAGCGGAGGGCACGAGGAGCTCTGATCCCAGCACAGCCCCTGCCCACTCTCCTCCTCTCCCCCTCGGAAGAGCTGTGGGGCTCAGGAGCCTCCCCCACGCCCCCCCACACACTCCCGGTCCCCAGGGCATGCTGACCACCTTTCTCCCCAAAGGAAGGAGATGAGCCACCTTAGCAACAACTGCTGGGCATTGGATGGGCATTTTTCTAGTCCAGCTCTCCCCCCACGGTGACATGAGGGTGAGACAGACTGTGCCAATCTGCCTTGGTGCTGCTGAGCTGGCACCCCTGACTCAAGAGGGGGGACCCATCCTGCTCAACATTCTGCGATTAAGAGGCTCTGGCAAGTGTCGGGGGGGGGGAGTCAGAGGGGCAGTGAGCCCACCCAGATGGCCTCCACGGACTGTTTGTATCATTGAAAGCTCTGTTATTGTGTTTTTGGGAGGCGGAGTGAGTGGGGGATTTTTATTTTTTGCCTCGTTTTGGCCTTTTAAAGAGAATGCCCCCCCAACGCCGCCCTGCATAGCCAGAAGCCTTGCGCCATCGCCATTCGCCTGCTGCGCTCCCCCAGCCCCTCTCTTTCCCTTCCTTTGAAACAAACAATCCCCCCCAATCCTCCCGTTCCTGCCTGCTGAATTAAAACGAGAGAAAGCCAAGTTTTTTCTTTTGTGGTCTTTACATATTTAAACTGCAGCTAGAAGGAAGCGGGGAAGAAAACCATCGCGAGACACTCTTGTGTTTTAACTTTTTTTCCTTGTTGCTTTTTGGAGTTTTCATCCTGCTTTCGTGAGAGGGCAGCTTTTGGGAGGGGGTGTACCTGACCCCTTCACCCCCAAGCCATCAGCTGAGCAAGATGCCTTCCAGCCCACTGCCCCACCCGCCAGAGACCCCCTGGATCTCCCCCAAGCCTGCCCGGCCCCCAAAGGCATCCCTCCTCAGGAGCAACATCGAGCTGGCCACGCCTACCCTGGCCACACCCACCCAGTCTGCCATGACCACACCCACCCAGTGGGCCATGCCCTCCTGGCACCCGGTGATACATAAGTGGGTTTTGAGTTGCAGTTTGGGCACTCGGGTTCTAAAAGGTTCGCCATCACTGATTTAAACCTTAGAATTACAAAATCTTGAAAGTCTGTCCAAGTTTCTCTTTGTCTCATTTTATACTAAACAGAATCAAGGCAGAGTCATTCTGAACTTCTTTCTCACCTTTTCCTTCCCTGTATCTCAAGACTGGGTAATATTTTCTGCCAGTCCCCCTCCAATGGCTCCCTCTCATATTGTATCTTCTTTCAATCTTCCCCAAGATCAATTCTTCATTGTTACCCAGGAGCTGCTGAAGGTGGTTAAAGCCTCCATTCCAGGCATCCTTTCACACTTACCCAAGTTCACTCCTACATATTTAAGAAGAATGAAATGAATTTTTTTAAAAAAAAACACTTTTTAAAGTGCATTAAACACTGCAATGAAATAGCCAAAAAAAAAAAAAAAAGAATGAAATGAAGGTACTTAATGGTACTTGCAGCTGACACTGGATGGGAGGAAAAGCAAAGCTAGGCGATTCCACCAACTGTTGCCCTTAAATTATCCTGCAGTAAAACTGTATGGATAGGACCCCTTGCAAACCTCATTACCAAGGCAGATTATTGCTCAATCTCACCAGGACAGTGCAAACGATGCTGGCTGTTTTTTCTGCTGCTTAAGGACTGTGGGAGTATACACTTTAATGCATTTGTAAGGAAGAACCCCAAATTAACATTTTTAGCAAGCTGTCTGTTCAAACCCTCTATACTTTTTTTCCCTGAGCGCTATAGTATCACATACAATTTAGGACACTTACCCTAAATCTAATATGTGGGCAAGCTGCTATGTTATGAATAGTCTCATTCAATACACGTGGTTGCCAAAGATTGAAAGGGGATAGTATGCCCGAGTTCATTATAGAGTCCAGTTAAAATGAGGGCTGAGCCCCTTAAACAGATTTTAATTTTTTTATCCTACCTTTATTTTTATAAATAACTCAAGGCGGTGAACGTACCTAATGCTCTTCCTTCCCCCTGTTTTCTCACAACAACCCTGTGAGATGGGTTGGGCTGAGAAAGAATTACCAAATTCACTCAGCCAGCTTTCATGTCTAAGGAGGTACTAGAACTCATGGTCTCCTGGTTTCTAGCCTAGTGCCTTAATCACTAGATCAGGGGTAGGCAACCTTGGCTCTTTTATGACTCGTGGACTTCAACTCCCAGAATTCCTGATCCAGCCATATTGGCTCAGGGATTTTGGGAGTTGAAATCCACGAGTCATAAAAGAGCCAAGGTTGCCTACCCCTGCACTAGATCAAACTGGCTCACATAGTTCATTTCCAGCTATTTAGGGGACTTTAGCAGAAACAAAAGGCACTTTATGATACCCTGCTTCATTTTTCTCTGTCAACTGAAATCAAGTGGATAAATAACCAAAGACATGGTGCTTTCAATTGTGACATCCCATCTTTGATACATCCTTTTCTAGGAGATCTGATTACTGCCACTTTAATTTCTTCTAAAAAATAAGGTGTCCTGCAAGTCAAGTTCTATTGTTTCTGCTGACCTCATAGACCTCTTTCAAGTCTTTTTGGCCACACTATGGAAATGGTTTAACACTGCTTTCTTTGGAGTTATTTTTCAACTTGCTAGTCTAGTCTATAGCCCTGGCATTTTGTGATGGTCTCCCATCTAGCCGCCATCTTGCTTAGCTTTTCAAGATCAGTCAAATTCAACTCAGAATTGCCATTTAGCTGAGCTTATTGCCTTTCAGCATCAGATGGAAAATATGTTCATTTCCCCCAAGCTTTCCATTGTAAGAGTTAATTATGTTTTTCATACTGAATTCTTAACTGCCTGGAATGATCTCCTAATTTGAGGAGTTTTATTTATTTATTTTTTTCATATTTAGGGAGCAAAATTATATTTGTGTTGAAAGTGTCCCTCGCAGTAGCATGACTGTGAGAAAAATCTAAAAAATGGCTGCTACAGGAGGGGACCTGAATAGTCTATGGTTCAGGACGAGACACAATAGACACCATCTTCCTCAGGCACATTCTCTTCCCCTCCACAGCTTCATCTTTGGCACAAGACAGAGGTTTTTACTGGAAACACTGGGACATATTTTTTCTGAGATAAACTGATCTGGGGGAGGAGGATGGTGTAGGAAGAAAAGGTTACTGTCCTGTCCTGTACATTTCTTTCCAATTTTGATGTCTCCTTAGAGACTTTGTTTTCATAAAAAGGAGGTATAATTTAATGTAATGCTTCTAATACCATGCTTCTTTTGCTTTGAAAGACATGGCTGAAGATAGCTCACCTAAGTTGAATACAGTATATACTGCAGATTCTAATTCTGAGCATGATGTATATGGAGGTGATAGAAAAATGACTAATCCTGACTTAATTGCCATTACCAATCCTACCTTCCTTTTGTATCTGTGTGCAAGATCACAGTGAAAATGTCCTACCTTCCAATGTGCATGTGAATTGTCTGAGCCACCAGTGTCTTCCTTTTTTATTCTTATTGTCCTCTCTAGGGCCAAGTTTGAAGATCCCTGGTATAGACTGTATCCCAGAGAATTTTCCAAGGTTGCCTTGATAAACCAAAGCAAGTTGCATTATGTATTGGTTCAAATTATAGCCCATCTTTCCCCCCCCCCCCCCCAATAACTGAAGGATTCATTTTATCCCCCAAAAAACAGCTCTGTGAGTAGGTTGGGGAGAAAGAGAGAGAGAGAGAGAGAGAGAGGGAGGGAGGGAGGGAGGGAGGGAGGGAGGGGGAGAGAGAGAGAGAGAGAGAGAGAGAGAGAAAGAGAGAGAGAGAGAGAGAGAGAAAGAGAGACTAGCCCAAAGTCACTAAATGCGCTTCCATGGCTAAAGATGGAGCAGAACCTGGGTTTCCCTGATGTTAAACCAACACCTTAACTTCTATGCCACAATGGCACATGTTGGCACTTTCTCTAAGATTGGGGAGGCATCTGCTGGATGCCTCCCCAACTAATTTTTTACTAATTTTTTCCCCAAAATCCTATTTATTTCTTTTTTAAGAATATCAACTCAACTTTAAAGCAGCATGTTCCCTTCACTGTTTCAAGAAAAACTGTGGATTGGTTCCAAATTCTTGACTCTTCCACAAGGCCTCCTTCAATAATTAAAAAAAAAACAAAAAACCTAAAACCCTAACTCTTAATACCACCAAGTTGGTAGCTGTGAGTAAAAACAAGGAGAGGGGCAAAACTCTTTGATATGGCTTTGGCTTCACAGGCATGGATATTTGGCTTCCAATATCTGGCATGGATATTGCTATGTGGGCCCCCAAAAGAAGAGGATAGTCAGACAAACATCTCCAACATCTTCTCCTCAACAGCATTTCTGTCCATGATGATGATGATTGGGCTTGAGCATGTGAGAAGAAACAAACATATCTGTGCTGTGATTGGCACGATGCCAATCAAATATTTTTTTTGAGTCAACACCTCTCCTTGGGCATGCGTGTGCACACACATTCACACAGATTCTCCCCCCCCCCCCCAATTGCTTGGAGCAGGAGAAGAGAAGAGAAGAGAAGAACTGCCTAGTGATTTCTGAACAACAATCGGGGGCCTATCGCCTTTTGCATTAGGCATTCAAGAAAATCACCTCCTGTGGATGTCAATGGCAGTTCCCTTCAGTGGAGGGGAGGAGAGAACAGCAGTGGTGTACTTGTTTGTGTGTATGTGTGTGTGTGTATGTGTAAAACATGTGCAGGCCGAGGAGCCAAGCACAGCCAATGGGAAGGGAACGCCTGTTCCTGCTGAGAGTCACCCTCCTCCCCTCCCTCCGCACAGCCGCCTCTGGCCCACCCAAGTAGCAGCCGATGGGCATAAATTTGAGAACTGAGTACTACTAGGACTGGATTGAAGGGAACCTTCCCCTCTCTGCCTTCAAGCCTGCCAAAAAGCTCAAACTGAAACACATTCCCTCCTGGATTGCCTGCCAAGAAATCACGGCGCAGGGCCAGAAGCAGTGAGGCCCGCTCCACGTAAACACTACAAGGGGGGTGGCAAAGCTACCGTCCCCCTTTGGCCCTCCATTGCCAAAGCAATGAGGAACTTTAATGCTTTTTTTTTTTTTACTGGATTGCTCCCCTCCACATCTGGCTCCCTAGAGAGAACCAAACTCATCCCCCACCCCACGCTTGTAGTTTGGCTCCTCCAGGCCTTTGTTGAAAGAAACATATGCACACTGTATGTATAGATATTCCGTCCAGCGAAGAGGTAGAGGAATTGGAAGCAAGCAAAGATACCTTAAAAACCCACAAGGAGCATTTTGAGCCATCACAGCAAAGTCTACCTAAGTCTTTCCCCCTATGGAGTATCCCAACTAGAAATACTGCTAAATATTACATGGCTTGGAGTACAGCCATGCACTCAGTGGGAGAAGATTGACGTGTGGATTTGACTTGTCTGTAGGGCACCTGGGTGAAGAAGGTTAATGGGATGGAGAAATGTCTGTTTTAATGCTTAACATCTTCGTTACAGTTCCTAGATTAGGAATCACTAGAAGGAAGTGAACAAACAGTGATCGCAACATTCAAGATCTTTCTGCTCCCAAACTATAACATACAAGGACTTATAAGTTGGGCTGGGACATTAAAGTTGTGAATTACATGGCCCAAATAATTTAAGTACAAAATTGCAGACTTCCACAGACCATGATTAACTAAAGATTCCCTTGAGTTCAGCTTGACTCCAAATGACTGGGCACATCTTCAGGTCATCCTCAACTTACAACAGTTTATTTAGTGACCACTCAAAGTTACAACGGCACTGAAAAAAGTGACTTATGACAGTTTTTCACACAACCATTGCAGCATCCTCATGATAATGTGATCAGAATTCAGAGACTTTGGCAACTGACTCATATTTAGGACGGTCGCAGTGTCCCGAGGGTCATGTGATCCCCTTTTGCGACCTAATGACAAGCAAAGTCAATGGGGAAGCCAGATTCATTTAACAACCATGTTACTAATTTAACAACTGCAGTGATTCACTTATAACAACTGTGGCAGGAAAGGTCATAAAATGGGACAAAATTCACTTAACAACTGTCTCACCTAGCAACAGAAATTTTGGGCTCAGTTGTGGTTGTAAGTCGAGGATTACCTGTACATTATTTTCAAGGCAGCAACACTGAAGTTGCTTGCCATTGCCTTCATAATATTTTTGGGACTTCCAGTTCAGCTTACAGGTCTGGGTATTCTTAATGTCCTTTCTTCCAAATGCCAACCAGGTGCTAGCCAAGACTCCCTTTTGTCCCCCCTCCCCTCGGCAAGGTGACAGACAGTTCCATGTGTCAGTCAAGGAGGAAGAGTGCTTTCCAACACCGCCTGCCATCTTCTCACAGACAGCATCAATGGGGAAGCCAACAGGAAATTGGAAGTCACTTCACTGCTTTTTTTCCTGTCTGTGATCATATTGTTTCTCTGTTCCCACAGTAAAAATGACAATAAAGGTTATCTATCTATCTATCTATCTATCTATCTATCTATCTATCTATCTATCTATCTACCTACCTACCTACCTATCTACCTACTTCTGAAAGGATAACCCAATGCGTTATGCGTTGTTTAGTAACAACCAAACCCGTTCAATACAGTATATAAATGACCACTAAGGTAAGAAACACTTCTAATAATGAAGAACACCCCATGGTTCCAGCTTACCTTCCAACCCCCATAGCTGGAACACATCCAAGTCTTTAAGGCTTTCTGGAAGGTCAACAAGACTGGGGCCAAAGGGTAGTTGCTGCAATGGAAAACACCCACTTTCTGGGTCCCACAAGATTATATTGTTTGGTTGACAGCATCTGAAACATGCCTCTGCTGCTGAATCTGATGAAAAGGATATCGATAATTGGGGAGATTTGGTTCTGCAAATAACCTTGGCCCCATGCCATGAAGGACTTTATAGGTGACCATCAGCATCTTAAATTTCACCTGGAAACATACCATA